AATAATTGGCTATAAAATATTATTCAACTAGAGATTCATGAACAATCAGATAATAACTTTATAGTAAGGAAAGCAACAGAATATTTAAAACAGCATTCAATACAACTAACAGCTGTACAAATACCTACAAATATACAAAAAAGATTATCCAAACATTTTCAGTAGGTAGTAAGTAAAGGAATCTTAAACAAGAAGAAAGATATTTTTTAAAAACTACAAAATCAGACATTTTCACTAGGATATCAACTTATGCATATAAGTAGAGAAATAGATAAAAGCTACCCTAATTGTCTATATAAAAGACAAATAATTAAATATTTTGCAATAGATTGTGAAGTCAATCAGGCAATTTGAAATAAAGGATATGGTTTCTTTAAAAACCCAGAAGAGAAAATCCCTCCTTTAACAATAGAAGTTTTTATAGCATCAAATATTCAAAATCAAAAGAAAAAAAAAAGTGATATAACTTTATATTATGATTATATATAAGATTTGGTTGTAGTATACACAAACTAGGTGAAGTAGCAACTATATTCTAGAAGATATAATCAGACATATCACAACAGCTAGAATCTAAAAAAACCTTAAAATTTTAAACTATACATGCTGATGAAATTATTTTAGGTTTCAGAATATGCAATTAAAATTTGAAGACGAAATTGTTTTTGACCTATTTTACTTAAAAGATAAAATTTTTTGATACTTTTTTTGAAGAGACGAAATTATAAAGAACATAACTACCTAAATTAGATTTGCTTTTGTATATAAAAAATTCTAAATTGTTCTAATGGAAACAAAATAGGATTTTTTTGAAAACCTATTTCGGTGACATGTATATCTTAAACAAGACATCGAAAAACAAAACAAAGAAAAAACTAGTTAGCTTCTTAAATATTAATATATAATTGTAAATAGATAAACTCTACTACTTGTAATTATAGAATCTATTAAATAAAGTATACCAATTCGCGTTATAAAAAAAAAAAAAAAAAAAAAAGTTCATCGAATTTCATCAGGTGGTTGCCGAGATACCTTCGATCAAATTTTTAAAAATGAGCGATCTACAAGGGTGTGGAAATATCAGTTCCCATTTTAAAATGTAATTATCATATCGAAGTAATTTTAACCAAATCAGAATTTACCTAACAATCAAGATTCTTTTTTCTTTCGTTTTAATCAGTGATTTGGCGTCAGTTGATAAAATCAACCTATTCAAGTCGATTCAATTAGGTATATAGGCATGGTTAACGATTTTTAAATATCACCTTGGCCGAGTGATAGTTGACTACACACACTAATTCCAATCATTTGAGCAAGAATATATTAAATAATTGACCAAATTGAAAGGGTTTTTATTTTTATAATATTCATAACGATTTCGTAGAAAAATTTATAAATTATTTGCAATTCATATTTACGATTCTTACTTTGCTTTGACTTTTTTTTCCTTTCATTCTTATATATTAATATAATTATTACCAATATTTGTTTAATAAATTTAATTAAATGTTATTCTACATGTTTTAATAAATTATACAGTTAATTTACTTTAGTTTGTCACAGTTTGGACCGACGTTAGGATATGATCAAGCAGGTAACTTGACATCATCGGTATAACCTGTCACAGATTTTTGTGTTTCTGATGTTTCATCGGACATTTCGTAATAATTTGATTCTGGCAATTGTAATGATGGTGCTAATGTCCGAGGAGACGGTGGTGCTAGTATCCGAGGAGATGGTAACGACAAGTTTGAAGAATCCGGCGGTGAGGATGCGACAAATTCTTCAACTGAAGCTGATGAAACGCTCTCTGCATCATAGTCAACATCCTCAACCTGAAGAGCGAGATCATTAACTTCTTCCTCTGATGAATCATCATTCCGCTCATTTCTGCGAAGGCTTGATTTAGTTACTTAATTAAATAAATAGTAAAGTTAGACCTCAAACATAAAAGCATAAAACTAGTAATGCATATATAAAATAGCACACCTGTCAACCTCCGTTCTAACCCGACCACAACTTCAGGAGCACTATCCATATAATGAACACTATTTCGATTACTTCTGCCCGTAATTTCTTCACGAATATCACGTTTCCGTAAAGCAGTTTTAGGTGACAAAGCAGTAGGTGAACTTGTATCTTCATTCGGACTGGCATTTGCCAATTGTTGATTATCTGAGGTGGATTCGGATGAAAAATCATTTGTTGAAGGTTGATGATAATCTTTTTCGTGATTTTCTGGTGTTACTTCTATAGTTTTTGGAGCAGCAACACCATCACTATCTGTAAAGAAGATGTAATCGAACTCCGCCATGAAGAGGCTAAAAACACCAGCTGGGATACCCAATGTAGGAGAAAAAACTATCCCAATATTACGTACTGTCATCTTATTAATCTCAGAATTTTGTACAATTCTAATTAAGTGACCTGTCAGTGCCCGAAGCAACGTATAGTTGGCTAAAGGAAGAGACGAAACTAAACGACCAAGTTCATTAATACGATCTCGTCTATCGAGAAGATCTAAAGAAAATAAGGTGTTGTTAGGATGAAGTATCAAAATTATGGCTCAAGGCAACGTAAATCATGAATAACATACCAACAACGTTTACAAATTCCATGTGTAATTCTCGGGTTAGAACACTTGTAGGTAGTTCTCTCAGGTAAAGCTTCAACAATCCAGCTACAGCATGCACATCGTAATACTCTCCTTGGTTAAGTAAGTCGACATCACCTTCAGAATTGAATCTATCTTTTAAGTGTTTTAATGTCATGGCAGCACCACTAAGGCGGTAAATGCCTTCTTCTTTATCTGCATCATTCGCATCCAGATATTCTATACACCTAAAAACGACAGCAGGGAGTTCGTACCCTTCTTTTATGCGCGCAACTGCAATTGCTTGATCCAAAGGAATACCGAAAACTA